TAGGGTTGAATATCTCTTAGTGTTCTTAGGTTTTGAGAAATGAATTTTTCTTTTTATGCAACTGTAAGTTGTGACTATATTTGCTATGGAATTTCAATATATAAAATGAAAATAAAAAAGTCAACGTTATAGTGTGAGCTTTAATTTGTTATTGTGCGAGTGTATGTGTTTATATGCATAGGTTTGTAATATTCTTACCCTTACTCAATTTTGTATTCACGTCCCATATTCCCTTTTTTGAAGTCTCTGATCTGTGCCGTTTACCAGTGTTTATTACGTTAGTGTATGGACAGTTACCACAAGGTATATACAAAATACTTCCGAGACCGTATTTTTGTTCTTTTACACAGTTGTGCAGAAGCAATGGTGCATAGCAGTTCTTGCAAGCTTTAAGTTGGTCACTAGTAAACCCAACTCAACCACTCTCCGACCATCACACCATGCCAAATTACTTTCATTTTCTTGGGAGGGAAGCAATGTTTCAGTCGGACAAGAAATTTCATTTACCATCACTACACTTTTTGTTATATTTAGATGAAGTTCATTCAATACCCCTAAACGGAAATGACCATTTTTCCGACGAAGCGGAATATTTTCCGACATCTTGAAAATATTTTTCTGGTGTAAGGGAGATAACTCTCATAACAACAAACGTAAATTTTCCGTTTTCCGTTAGGGGCGTTCATTAACGTACCTCTCACCTTAAGGCAAAACATGTTTTCATTAAAAAAATCAACCAATTTAATAGAGTTAAAAGTAACACAAATACAGTAATTTATCGAACATTTGAATATTATTTAAAGCAGCAAGATATCATTTACAGACGAATCATTTGCAAATAAATGTCCTTTAAAGACAAAAACATCGGACATCAGAAACCGATTTAGAATTTAAAAAAACTTGATAAGTCAATTTTATCTATAGATCGGTAAAACTGATAAATATTGTGTTTGTTGGTTTGTTTTATAGAAATGATTGATTGATTGGTTGCAACATACCGAAATTTTACGAACTATGCTTTTTATACTTGCATAATCAAGGCATTTAATTGTAACCAAAGTTATGATGTTGTGTTTTCATATACCAAACACTATCACCAATCGCTGGTAAGAAACGAAAAAGAAAACAAAATTGTCGCTTGTAGTTCTTAATATGAGAAATGAAAATTACCGCCTTTCAAGAACGGGAAATAACCGCCACAGTACTGCTCTATGTATTTATTTACATTGGAAAAAAAAGCATGCACTCCATAATTAATAAGACGCAAAATAAAACATTGACGTCATACATCTCAATTTTTTGGATTTCTTTTTCGTCTTTTAAAAATAAGTAATTTCTACTAAAACTAACGCTTATTTAACTTTTTCATCATGAGTGGCCATATATAACTGTATCTATAATACACTTTAAAGTCCTTGTTTAAAGAAAAATTTAACAAGGATGAAAATATGTCGTGTTACAAAATATGTTGATCAGTATCGTTATTGTATTCAAATATTGTATACCACTGAGAGAAAAAAACTTCCTGTTATAGTGAAGTTCACAGAATATCTCCTTTTAGCCTTTTGTTTGAATTAAAACAAATAGATAATACAAACTGATTAATTTCCCTTGAAATGTATTCATCAGAAAAATATAATCACTGCTGTTGTTCCAGCATTTTTAACTTAGTTTGATTAGATCAAAACAATTTCGAGACACACAGAACAACATTGTGTGTTTTGTGTCCATATATGAGAAAAGTATTGCTTTAGTCATAAATTGAGCTGCAAGGAAATAATTATAAAATACAGTTTCAAGTCTCAACACATAACTAAAACTATCTTTAAGATATAAAATCATAGCAAAATTAAGTTTTTCTTTTAATAAGAAAGATTTTACTACACCATATCAATGTTTGTTATATCTGTTAGGATGTTGTAGCTGCATAATGACCAAACAAACATCGTTAAAAATACAATTATACAAAAACACATAAAATGAACAACACAAACCACATCTAACCCTTTTATAAAGTCACAATACTCCAAAAAGTTCTACAATTTGTTCGAAGAAAGTCTAGCTGACCAAATCATTTCAACAACGACCCATTCGAAGACTACCTACCATACTTCGTTAACTCTATCTGCATGTACGCATTTCTGTTCTAAATTTTTTGCTGGATTTAGCCATTTAAAAAAAGTGAGGCCCAAAGTACATCTTTGAAATGTCACCTTAAGTTGATTTCGCAAGTAATTTTAGATCTCTGTTGGTCACGTTGTATCTACAGTATTAAAGGATTTACACATCCTTTGTTGTCTCTCTGTAAGTAAGTAAGTAAGTAGGTGTATTGTTTATCATAGTGACATGAGTATAAATGTATTTCAATGGATGTATTTCAGCGCAATAAATACAAGAACACCCGGCCCATTGGATGTATATATCACTTCAATGAAATTAGCACAAACAAAAAATCACTAAAGTAGTACAGCCTCTGTTTTGCATATAGATTCTCAAGACCTGATACAATAGCGAAAAAGGTATCAAATCTTTTGTAGTTAATCCTGTTCACTGTTATGACTTTTATTCAAACGTTCAGTTTTTCACCTATACAGTTGAAATAAAATCAATCGACATATACTCTGCCAAAAAACCAAAAAAGCAGAAACGTATAATGAATTTTTAAGGATATATATATGTGAGGTCTAGAGCGCTGGATACAGTGCAGGTGGTGTTGTCTCGATATCCCAAAATAGCATGCGTTCGAATCCCGGCGAGGGAAGAACAAAAATTTGCTTCCACAAATTTGCAGATTTAACATTGTTGTGCTGATTTATAACTAATGCACGTCCTTGTTCGAACGTATGTGATTTATAAAGCATTGTTTTCATTTTCTTTGGTTACGTTCATAATTTGCAACTACTTCTTTTCAAAGGCGAAAAGCAATTACCATACATATGCTAATCAATATGGACTACATTGCTTTCCTTCCAGGTTAACGCCATTTTAAATTTAAGTGTCTCAACAAACATGTTTTGTGATTTTAAAACAATTGCAATGGAAACTAATTCTTCTTATCCTCATAATACCCGTTTATTGTAAATCTTTTGTAATACGGTAACTTTTACAACCCTTAGTTAATATACAAGTATTATTTCTCTATAATAGAATACAGGCGTCAGAAAATATTTGTGAAGTATATATAAATTATATATTTGAACGTTATTTTTTTATATTTGATCTGATTTCGTCTTAATCGTTCTAACAGATCCGAAATCGAACACTAGAACCCGTTGTCTTGTTCATCTTGACATGATTGAACGGACTGAAAACAAACAAACGGAATTCTGTTTGAAAGTATGAAAAAGTGTTAACGTTTTTCTCTCGCTGTATATTCAGTTGATTAAGTCTTGATCATACCAAAATGACCGTTTCGTACTTAAATCTTGCTTCGAGACGTAACTGAAACCAAATGTTACTCGGATATATGTACACTGCTATATAATCAGGACATTGGAGCTCCGTACAAGCTACATACGTGTTTGTCAAGAACTTTATTGATACTAAAACACTGATGTAAAGTTGAAGGCTATGCACAAGTTATAGTGACAGTTTCGCTCATGGTAGTAAACCCCCATGCTAAATAATAAATCTAGAAGTACATGTAAATGTTTGCGTTCGTTGTAGATCACAATTTCAATAAACGGATACAACTAGTTTCTTTTCCAGATTAGATTTTACTTTTTCAATTAGTTTATTTTGCTTTGACGATAGGTTGCATGAATGAGAACTGTTCTTCGAAGGTTTGCTTTAAGTGGAATGCTTTTTTATCCCAAAAGATACACCTTGTATTAGTAAACTAAACTAATACATGATCATAGAACAATATCAACGGTACCACTTTTCTGCACCAGTTGCGCTTTTCGACAATTCGTCTCTTCAGTGATGCTCGAGGCCAAAATATTTGGAAATCAAAAACTTGTTATTAAGAGCTATAATCCAAAAAGGACAAGAAGTATAACCAAAGCCGGACAAGGAATCAGAGCTTTGCATGAGGGAGATATATTCCTTAATTTATAATAATTTCTAAATTTGAAAAAGCAAATTTTAATAACAAAAAATCCGTATTTTCATGCCAGGACCGAAATACTGGCTACTGGGCTGGTGATACCCTTGGGTACAGTCCACCAGCAGAGGCATCAAACGGTGATAGTAACCCTGTTTCTCTAATAAATACAGTAAAACAGAATTTGTTGTGTAGTCTAATATTCCAAAATAATATTCTAGAAGAGGTAAATGCCCGCTTCTCCAAACCTGAATCAATGTCTTCATATCCACATGAACTCTTATGAAATTGGATTTCTACTGAATTTGTACGACGAATATTTATACCTTTATTTTGTGAGTCGGACTAATTGAGTCCCTTCGGAATACATGTTCGTGTTAAGCTTTAATTATAAACACAGTTAAAAATAGAGATGAACTTGAAACTGCAAAAATGGTCAGGTAGATCTACAAATAAGTCACGTGCTGAAATTGTCAGTCGCCACCAAAGACTATTTATACTTATGTTTAGCCTTTTTACTAGGGACAATTATTAATACAGAGAAATTATAAAACACAAATATGAACTCATCCTGTTCAGTAGTCCCTTTATATATTTGAAATCAGTCAAAATCATAAACCATATACAGTTAAATCGTGATCCATATCGTATGGAAGCCTGTTTAAATCCTTTATATATGAATGCAAAAAAAAAAAAAAAGAAATAAAAAGCAATAACGACCAGTAAGTAAATGCGATATGTACTCATTGCGTATATTCAGCCAAAATTAGAGCCCAAATTTTAAAATGTCTTTAATGTTTGAATTTCAACTTAAATACAGTCTGAATTTTTAATAAAGTTGTTCAACACAATGCAGTATCTTTGATAGTTATCTTGCGTTGACTTACAATAAAAACTTGACGAAAAAGGTTTGTAACAAGTGGTAATTGATATACCGGAAAAAATACACCCGAAAGAAAAGACTGCTTACATTAACACAATTGAGTTGATATAAAAACCGATTATTTTCACTGTAACAGCTTCAGTTAAATAAAGTTTGTGGAAATCCTGGTACCAATAGACATGGAAGTAAAAGTCTTGTTGTGTATGTGTCTTTTACTTCATTGCACACTACATAAATCATGTAAGTATAATTGTGTAATGTATTATATACGCAAGCTCTACAGAAATTAAGGAAAAAATTGTAAGAGTTCTGCCTATTTTAGTTTCTCTTATAAAATATTGACAAAAGATTCTGAATCAGCGCGTTGGAACACAATCAACCATTTTTTTTATGTTTTGTTTACCATTTTGTAGCTCGACATTTGAAATAACGATACAAAATTGCGTCGTTAGTTTGTATCGGTTTGTTTTCATTGGATTTCACGAGTTTCTTTTTTTTGTCGCTGTCACTAACTTTAAACAAGAATACATCAACTGAATCACTAAGTATTCCCATCTTTTGTTGTTTTCAAATTTCGTTCATTTGATTTGCGTTCATTTTGTATTTCGTTTAATGTTCATGACTGGAATATTTCAAATCGTTTCATATACACATTTCGTATCTTAAAACCATTACATCACGCGTAATGTTCTTCGCCATTTTTGGTTACAAATACTTTGATTGCTTAAAGATACACTATGATATCAAGTCTTTCATTACATTATTTAGTTCAGATAAAAAACCGAAATATTTGCGTTCTTATCAATTGACTAATCTATCATGCATATAAGTAATATTTTGTTGTTGCCTTCCCGAAACTTTTATCTCAAGTGTCTTTGATTGGATCAGTTTTAGAATGCCGTATGCTCTTGTAACAAATGTCAGTGGCGGATCCAGAGATTTTTATAAGGTGTGAGGGGTCACTGACTGTAATAAGAGGGGGCCGCTACAGTCAGGCTTCAGTGATTCCCTATATAATCAAACAAATGTTTTTCAACGAAAGGACCCCCAGGCCCCACTGAATCCGCCTATGAGTGTCATAATTTATTTTTATTATCTTTATGTTAGCGATAATCCTCCTTTTATCCCAAATTTTCTAATAGCCGTTTATAAAACATCTGTACCGACTCCAGTATCTACACTGACTGAAAAAATGGAGGGACCGTATCAAAATATAGAAATATACTGAATGAATGACCTCGTAATACTCATTCAAGCTCAGGGAAAATTACCGTTTTGCAATGGGCCCGATTAGGGGAACATCAACATATATATACATTCCGACAACAGAGCCGTAACAGCAATATTTTTTCCGATCACCGTCATATTTAACCCTTTAGGCGATATATGCTACATATTTTCTCGGTTTCCTTGGACACCTGATCGAAGCTATACAGTTTATACAAATTCAAGAAATAGGTCAGAAATTAGCATTTCTTTTTCACTTTTTTTTGCTAGCATCTATATCATTTATTCAAATCGGTATCCTATAACTATGCCATACATACGACATCAAATCGCTTGACCACCTGCAAATCTAAAGGGAAACTACAAAAATTCATTAAACTTTTAACTGAAATTGTATTATGGTATTATTTTAGAACATTTGACTGTGCTGTGGTCATTTTTTTGTATTCCTGTGTTTCATTTTTACGTATGTGCTTTGTCTATATGTCATTTTGTTTTTTCTTTTTACATATTTGTTTGCTTTTATGGCGATTATCTCAATCGCCATAAAAGCAAATAAATATGTAACAAAGAAACACAATTTTGACTGCTGTTTCCCTTTTGACATTTTTACCTATTTTATCTGTTTGTTTTGTTCGCACATTGTTGTCGATATAATGGAATTTTATGCGACTGTCATATAAGTGAGAGGTTTTGCCAGCTTTAAAACCAGGTTCAATCCACGATTTTCTACATAAGGAAATGCCTGTACCAAGTAAGGAATATGACAGTTATTTTCCGTTCGTTCGATGTGTTTGAGCTATTGATTTTGTCAATTGTTAATGGAATTTCCGTTTTGAATTTTCCTTGGAGTTCGGTATTATTGTTGTTTTACTGTTTGGTGGTTTGAAGTGCTATACATCAATATTGACACTGCTGAGACTACCAATGAACAAGTTATCTGCCGTTATTGATATCTGTGTAGAATAAGTTTATCAGCTTTTCTCCTAAATGAAGTTTCATATCATATACATATTTATACTTTTTTTTAAACTCTATAAACATGCTTTCAGTAAACGTTTCTGTCTCCATTTAAATTTCTACTAATTGACACAGTCTACTCTCTTGTAAGTACAATATGAAGATCGGTCAGTTAGCAGCTACTAAACAGAGAGAAAAAAGAAACAAGTCATTCAAAATGAATATTTCATTCTACATTTAAATGTTAATAAAAATATATTATATTCATGGCTGAGGTCATTGTATACGGGATGTATAAAGACACACCCACGTTCATTTTGATCTATAAAGAGGTTAAACTTCTAACTATCCTACTGCCTGTTGATACATTTATTTTTGGCATTGCACAAGTCATGTCTTCTTTGACTGTCCATGACGTTAAAATATTAAATCCCTGGGATGTGTTTTAGTTAATTTTAGTCTCTGATGCATGATTTTGCATTATTAATTGTTTTTGGCTTTTAACTAGCTGTCAGTAACTCTCAAATCGTACTTTCTTGTTCATTTGACCTGTTGATACTAATTGTAATGCTTTTTTGTTACTTAATGTTATTCAGGTTTATATCTGGTCTATGTACCAGCTTTGATAAGTGTTTGGTATTACTATAAATTTTCACTTCGTACTATGAACATTAAAATTATTTATTTTGTAAAAATATTTCCTTTTTATATTTGAACTGTACACGTATACCTAACAATAAAATTATTTTCATTTACCTGTGTTTAAAGTAATTGTAAATGGCTGATATTTTTGTTCGAGCATATTGTTTTTCTTCAATTGGTTAACATTTCATAGCGGTATAACATGTTACTTTTTTTTTTCTTCCCTTAGTTTATTTATTTTGTATTTACATTGTATCATAGGTCAAATTTATTTGTTCAGTGTATGTTCACTGGTGTTAATATGTCCTTTGATTGAGTTAAGCCATTTCAGTTGATATTTTATAGTGTGTCTGTCTATGTTGGGATGTTACACTATTGTTTCAGAAAAAGGGTGAAGGTTTGGTACCATTAAAACGTTTCAACCCGCTGCAATTGTTTGCACCTGTCCTTAGTCAGGAATCTGATGTTCAGTAGTTGTCGTTTGTTGATGTGGTTTATAAGTGTTTCTCTTTTCTCGTTTTTATATAGATTAGACCGTTGGTTTTCCCGTTTGAATGGTTTTACACTAGTAATTTTTGGGGCCCTTTATAGCTTGCTGTTCGGTGTGAGCCAAGGCGCCGTGTTGAAGACCGTACTTTGACCTATAATGGTTTACTTTTATAAATTTTGACTTGGATGGAGAGTTGTCTCATTGGCACTCATACCACATCTTCTTAGACACTTTATATCTACTTGACATGACCCCCGTCTCGCATTTTCATAGGAGACTACAAATAAAAGCTCCCTGATTTTTTTACCACCTGAGATCATCCCAGCATGCTATACAATGTGACGCGGTTTCAGATTCATCTTTCATCAGCTCACTGTTAATTGAATGCTTGAATAAATATATATTACGGTTATACATACTGGCCATATTTACAATTTCAATCGCATTTTCTTCAGAAGTACGACTATTGGCCTTTTGTAATGTGCTTTCACGCGACGTGTTAACATGGTTTACTGTTTAAAGCATATTTAAATGCCCTTTGTCTTCAAATTACAACCCTAGGAGTAAACTTCCTCAGCTGTATTTAGCAAATCTTTTATGAAATTTATTTCCCCAATGCTCCTCAACTTTGTACTTCATTTGTGTTTTTTAACCTTTTTGATTCGTGTTTCACTAGTAAGTCGTTTGTAAACGAAACGCGCGTCAGATGCACAAATTTTAATCAAGGTATATATGATTAGTTTATTTCCTGTTTAACTAATGCTACAAACGGTGTTTCAACGAAAATGACCGAAGAAGACTTTAGTTGCAATGACTATTTTTAGATAACTTTGTGTATTCCGTTATTATGATTATTAATCCTTTATCACAATGTTTATATTTGTAAATGAAATTAAAAAGTTAAGATTACATTGTTGACAATAAAACTTAATCGTCTCATCTTGCAATAGTATTAAAACATTTGACTTTTCTACACTTTACACAAGTATTCCCCGTTCCAAACTAAAAGACAAATTGAAAGAGTTGGTGTTGCTTTGTTTCATAAAAAAGAATGGGGAACGTAGATACGTATCTTGTCTTGGGGAGGGATAAATCCTACTTTCTAAAGAATCACTCTGATCCAAAAAAAAAAATTCTCTGAAACTGACATTATCAAGATGCTTGATTCTTGATTGACAACATATTTGTTACGTTTGGAGGACGTGTTTTTCAACAGACTGTCGGTATTCCAATGGGAACCAATTGTGCTCCTCTTCTTGCCGACTTGTTTCTTTATTATTATGAGGCTAACTTCATACAGGAACTTCTTAGGAAGAAAGATAAGAAGTTAGCAATATCCTTTAAGTTTACTTTCCGCTATATAGATGATGTTCTCTCACTAAATAATTCAAAATTTTGTGACTATGTTGAACGCATCTATCCCATCGAACTAGAGATAAAGGATACAACAGATACAGTTAAGTCTGCCTCATATCTTGACTTACATCTAGAAATTGACAATGAGGGTCGGTTGAAAACCAAACTTTACGACAAAAGAGATGATTTCAGCTTCCCAATTGTGAACTTTCCATTTCTATGTAGTAACATTCCAGCAGCGCCTGCATACGGAGTATATATCTCCCAATTGATACGATATTCCCGGGCTTGTATTTCCTATCATGATTTCCTTGATAGAGGGTTGCTGCTCACAAAGAAACTATTAAATCAAGAGTTCCAAATGGTGAAGTTGGAAATCATCCCTTCGTAAATTTTACGGACGCTGTCACGAGTTGGTTGACCGTTATGGAATAACCGTTTCACAGATGATATCGGATATGTTCCTTATGTCGTAATTACAATCCACTTCCTTTTTCACCACGAATGTGACCTACCGAATTAGACTATTTACCGGATTTGTAATAACATGAGCAACACGAGGGGTGCCACATGTGGAGCAAGATTTGATTACCCTCCCGGAGCACCTGAGATCACCCCCAGTTTTTGGTGGGGTTCGTGTTGCTTAGTATTTAGTTTTCTATGTTGTGTCTTGTTTGTCTATTTATTTTTTAGCCATGAAGTTGTCAGTTAATTTTCGATCTATGAGTTTGACTGTCCTTCTGGTATCTTTTCCCCCTCTTTTAGTTAGTTTGTTTTAAATGTCTACATACATGCATATTTGACTGCCTTCTTTTCTAAATATTATGTCATTTTAATCATTTAAAGAAGTACAACGGGCACAAACTAATGAATATTGTAGGCTATTTGCATGATTTTACACATATACAATCTTGGTGTTTTGTTATTTAGAATATAGTGAATGAAATAATCTGATCATTGTTTTCAGCTTTCCATGGACAACTTTTGTTTTCAAATAGCACTTCAATAATGGAATTGGATGTTGATACACTCAAAATGGCTGTATTGGTTGCGTATGAAACAAGTTATGTGTATGACATGGCCTACCATAACAAATACCTTTATTTCCAATTGCGAAGATCTGACTACAATGCCATTACGCGGTATGTAAACAATTATCACCTAATATAATAAAAAAAGTTGAGCTAAAATGATTACAAGAAACAGATCATTATCGGTTGTATGACGGTGAATGTATAATTAAAATTATATAATTACATACAAAACAAAACAACAATCCTACCAAATAATAATAGACTTCGGTAAGGTGATTACTACGGACAACACCTACGAGTACCTCAACACAGACACAAGGTTAAGATTAGGTTTCAACATTTTAAGATTGCAATCTTGTTAATACTGCTTAAGATTTTAAACAAAAAGCTAGAACATTAACTTGATTTTAGTCAGTGTTGAGATTTCAGCTGTCTGATATCAACATGATCAATACATATTTTTTTTCGAAATTTTTAAAAATCTGTTCATATAGAATTATTAGTTTCACATATTGCTGTCAAGTGAAAATTTAATGGTAAATCTAGACAAATTGTTTATATTTTAGTAGTTTCAGTTGGGAGGATGGCGTTTGTGAAGTAACTAAACTTTTCGACAATGTAACAAGACCATCTTTAGTTTATCTTTTGTTATGTGTGATTCATTTGTCATATGCTTAAGACTTTATTATAGTAGCTAGTAAATTGACCTCAGATGAAATATAGTATTAAAAGAACTTGTTGAAAAAGGTATAAACAATGAACTCCAAGGTAAATTAAAAAATTGGGAAGACCATAAAAACTGCCAAAATAAAACGTTATACTTTATCAACTAACAGAATGTATGGAAAACATCTGTCATAATCCTGACTTGCTATAGGCGTTTTCCGAAACAAAAGAGTTGGTTTAACCTGGTTCACCAGGTAGCTAAACCTCTTTATTGTATGACAGTTGTTCGTACATGCTGTTAAAGCTCTCCTCATAAAAAAAAAAATAATTCACGAAAAGACATGCATATTTCTAAACTAAATTAATGCATAGGCACTGGTGGTTTTCAGAACAACTACATAACGTTTAGAAAATGGTATACTCAATACGTACTAATGTTTCAATTCAACATAAAAAATGTTTTTGTTGCTGTTTAAGAAAACGGGTACGAATATGCCTCTTGACAGAATACGTAGGCTTTTTTATATATGCTTTTTTCAAGTTGTTATAAATCGATTTTTTGATAATGCCTCATTCTACTTATTACGCTCTTTGTCTATTCGAAGATGTAACATATAACATTTATTTCCCATCGTACAACGAGGCATCTCAATTAAAAGAGGTTAAAATCCTAAACGTAAGACGTAGCTTTGCCTTGCTATTAATACGGCGGTTACCTGTGCCAAAATCACATAATTTTCCGAGCTGCGAGATGTCTAATTCGTTTTTAGTTTTAAATCGGTGACGACGACCACTACTTTTAGACTCTGTAAACTTTAAAATTGTTTTATAAACATTTTAAATAACTTATTGTTGTTGGTTAGAAACAACCTATTTTATCGTTGTCCTCTGTTTAGGCTATATTTAAAAAAACGCGTTTACTATTGTGGGAAACACACAGATTGTCACACAATCAATGGTGGATCGAACGTGCTTACTCGACAATTTTTTTCGTCATTAAAAAATTTAGATAAATATTTTACCTCTGTTCTAGATTCATAGAGGAATAAGTAAAAACGCACTTCAAAATGATAAATTGATGGAATTTGTTTAATTTATTATTATGATATACTCATTGTATAGAAAATTTGCCCTAACGTTTAGTAAATAATGCATAATTGCATAATGTTAAACACAATACGGATTTCAATAAATGACTTATTGCTTGTTGCAAAAACGATTTCTTTCAGAAAACAAGGTTTTTTGAATCCTAAAATACTTGAATTTGTGCTGCTTTATTTGAACAAAAATAATAGCAATTGTTGTATATAAAATAATTGAATTTAATGAGGCCACTGGCGTACGTTGTTTTTGTTTATACTTTGTAATCTATTAGTATTGTAATTCAAATGTGTCTACCGATGCTTACACACATAAGGAACGCTTCTGTTAGTTTAGAAGAATTATTATCACGTGCTTTTAATTCTTAAATGTGTAAAGCACATCAAACTTTCTTACTCGTAATACTAAAAACTTGATTGCAGCATCTGTGTAACTATCGTTCTGACTATCAGTTTCCTGACTTAAGACAGGCGCAAACAAATGCAGAGGGTTTAAACTTTTAAATAGGTACACACCTTCACCCTTACCTGAAACAATAGTGTAACATCACAACAAAGAAAGACACACTATAAAATTTCAATTGAAAATGGATAATGTATATACTTATGAGATGGTGTGGATTGAATATAACCTAGTTTGGTGTGATGGTTATTTTGCGTAACAACATTGACCATTGGATTAACAATGTTTTTGAAATTCCTCACATAATTTTTGACACCTGTAGCATTTAGATGAATTCCATCTACGTAATCGGTTCTACGCATGTCGTCAAAAGTGACTAGTTTAAGACATCTAAGATCTTTCAATGAAATGTTAAGTTGACATCTTTTGATTTCGAATTCTTTGTTTTTTAAATTATCATTATAAAAGCGTGGTAAAATTTGACCTTATACTACTTCTAAATCTGGATAAGTGTTCATAGTAAGATTTACTAGTGCTTCATATACCTTTATTACGTTATTAACTTCACATTCATGCAGATCATTTGACCGAACCTGTAACATAATCACTGATGTGTCCCTGTGAATTTTCCTAATTTTGACATATTCTTTAGCATCATTAACATCACTGAGGTGTGAGGGTTGTTATTCTTGTATTTCTGTTTCTGGATATGTATCTCCCATCAAGATCTTTCACTATTGATGTTCCCACTATCCAGATTTTTTTCATTTTGAGTCATATTTTGTGTCCCTTGTTGTTTGTTATTTCTTTCGATTCTCACTTCCTTATCTTCACATTTTCACATGATGTTTCTACATGCTTTGTTCTGTCAGATGTATTAGTCAATTTAATGTGGTCTCTTGATAGATCATCTTCTGTTTGTTGATATTTTACAGATCTTATATTTTGTCTTACTTCAATTATTTGTGTTCGAATATTTTCGTTTTCTTTCAAAATATGTGTTCCAATGTCATTTTCTTGAATTTGATTTATTCTGTTCACTTCTCTCATTTCCTTAACCTCTTTTGTAATTCAGGTATTTTTCTGCTAGTTTAAGCTCAACTGAGTGCATAGTATCTGTTATTGCTTTAAGCTCATTCATCATTTGATTTAATGAAACATCACATCCACACGTAATTTTCATATCATTCTGTTTATAAGCTGAGCTAGCTTTACTCATTTGGTTATTTTTTCTATTCTTATTTTTTTTAACATTTACGGGTTTGGTTGGTGGTTCCGTGTTTGTCTCCTCTAACTGTACAGCTTCCAATCAGCTTGCATCAGTCAGCGATTCATTACATTCGTCCTTCATCTTGTCACAAATTTCTTTAAGGAAGTTCACATTTTGACTATTCTGTCTTTTTGTACCCCAGAATTGTTTCCCTTTTCATTCATAATTTTTTCCACAGTGACTTTTAAACTTTCATACTCGTAGTCAAACCATTTTTGGAATTCCCCCCCCCCCCCCCCTGTATTAACATTATATTTGAAGTGTAAAATAAACTTATAACATATAGTTTTGTTCCGTCAATCTTGACATCTACGGTTGATTTCATTAAATATTTTTCCATGAAAATGTTTTCTTCTTATCTTTTACAGTTATAATGCTCAATTTATTGTCAAAATTATTCCATTTAATAATAATGTTTTGCTCATCACCTACTTTTTATAGTATCTATTCAGAAATATACTACTCCATATTAATATTGAGAATTTATCTAATTTCATCGTGTGCTGGTTATTGCCCTGCGTGTTGAAAGAGGGAGGGAGTGAACTGTTAGCCATTGCTTTAGTATATGGATCATGCACGGTTTTCAGTTTATAAACAGATTTAGTAATATTATAAAGACATTATCTTCATGAATTCCTTGTATTTTTGTTTACTTTTCAGTCATATATTTCACTGTTCATGCCATCATATTTTTGCCCTTGGCGCTGCCATTTTACCGGAAAAGATTAGAATCATTTGTATTCCTCTCTGCATATGAACAATGTTGCTCTTTATTTCAAATATAGTCCTCCAGATATGAATAACACATTTTCTTCAATATCATCCACATTAAAACTGTGTTCTTAAGTATGAGAAATTGAAATAACAGTTTGGAAGATACAATGTATACAATAGTTATTGAAAAACCGGTCATTATCGTGATATATTGACTGCCCAAAGGACAGTGGTATTCACTAAGACAGCGATAATGACTGAGCCGTTCTTCAATAACTATGATGTTTATTTCATTGAGGAGCCATGTTTTTTAAAATTCTCATAAATTCAAATTGTTCAAAACAAACTCGAGTTATTGTACGATTTCTATAGGAAAGAGTGAAGACCAGTCATAGTGATAACTATAAGTCACTACCATTCATTTAAATAATTTTTTTCAGTATATGAAAACAAACTAAAGTTTTCTATAATTTTATGATTAACAAAAGCATAGAGTAAACAATCAAACAACTTCAATATAAAATTACAGGAAAATGTTTTATTAAAGGGACATCTCTCTTAACAGAGAAACCACGCCCCATCGGTTATTTACATGTAAAAGTCTGTTAACGACAGGTTTTCCGGTCCGTTTTTTTCTGTTAAAGACCGATAGAAATTATTACTGAAGAATAAAGAGTGTCATTTGGCCATGTTATCTAATAAGAGAAGCCAATTCTTAACCGATATGAAATAATGTGATTTAGTTTTCCTCAATCGATGATTATAAAGTTTGGAAACTTCAATATCTTAGGTCAATGTTAGGTTGAACAGGTTCAAAATAAAAAAAGAAATATTCATTTTCATAAGCTTGCTTATTTTATATAGATTTCAGTATCCTTCAAAGAACCAAGCATTACAAACAGTTGTCCAGACAGGTGTAAATACAAAAGGATTAGCAATTGATTCAGCCAACAATCATCTGTACTGGAGTGATAACGATAATTACACAGTCTCAAGATGCAATCTAGACGGAACTCATGTAACTGTATTAACTACTTTAACCCATCCATTTGTGATACGACTTGATGTTACAAACAGGTATTACGTTATGTTTTTGAAATTAAACAAGACATGTATATTGTTTTATAAACCGAACTGTACAATTGTTTCGCAGTAATTTTTTTTCTCAAGAAAACAATGGTAACCGTATTCTTAACTATGTGTTTTAATGATTAAATCTATGCTTTTCATGTTATGTCATCAAACCATTTTAAACTATTCGCCTAGGCGATATATATATATGTTGAATATGACGGCTGCTTCTTAACAATAACCATCCAACCTTTACAGTTATTACTTGCCTCATTATAGGTATATGCATAGTTAAAATGGTATGGTTTTTTTTCCTTCAAAATATGACTATTGTCGAAGTCCACGAGTCAAAACATGGGACACTTTCATGTTTATGAAAATAGGAACAACGACAATGTATTGATGGCATTGGGAAAATCGATCCAATAAGAAATTAAAAGTTGATATAATGTAAGAGTAGTACAATATCAATAACATACTATTATAGGTAAATTATTGTCCAAAATTAGACAAATTAATCATCTTCATCGGTCACACGGTTATTAGGAAATTTGTTTTGTTTACTACATTGAATTGATTTAGATAAACTATAGCAGTTGTGGCCAGGTTTAAGGTAAACAGGTAGGATAGTTCTAAATTAAGGTCTAAATATAAGAGTATGTCAAATGAAGCACTTCAAACTAGTAGTATAAATATAACAGATCAGACAAAATTAGAAATTGGCTCGAGTAACTATTACTTAGTCTGTGATATACATGCATATCTGTGTACAAAACGAGGGTTCATGCAGAGTAGGTCTATAATAAGTGATGAGGACAACCGAATAAGTTTATGAGTAAAAAAGATCAATTCATAACATTATCCCATTTGCAATGTCCCCCTTATCAACAATGGAGGTAAAAGTAATTACCATAACCACAGTTAAAGACATCCATAGATGCATAATTAGTATGGACCATTCGGCAAAATAATTTTTCTACTAATGTGCCCTATGACAAATAAATTTTAGGATTGTTTTGTGTACATATATATGTATACGTATAACTAGAAAGGGGGTAATATTTTATCTTAAGGCGAGGTTTTCGTTTGCTGAAGAAAACAACAATTTAAAAAAAAAATGAATGATTTTCGTAAAACAATGTCCAGAACTGATTACGTATCATTAATACTTCAGTCCAGGATCTTAATTACCAAGTTATTCATTTTAATACTATGAACATGATGAACAGGTGTTTTTTGGTGATACCCCCCAATATTGACTTAAACATGTAAACATGTAAATACGCAAATATGTCATGTCTACTTAGGACGGCAAAACAGCATTTTCTAGCAAGGTGGTTAGTATTAAACTATTTAAAAGGCATTGTCAGTTTTTTTTTATGTATTAATGTTTTCAAAATTAAGTTGAAAAATAACTTAAACTTAAAACTTTCAAATAATTTGTTTCTTGTGAAGTACAATTATTAATTATGATGATTGCATATATTGAATTAGGTAATAACATTTTATCTTGCATATGTGATTGAGCACATTAGGATTTACTTGAGTAAAATATAATAAACGGTTAGAATGATTAGAACAAGTACAGGTCAATGTACGGCCTTTTGGTGAATCTATGAATGGGATATGGTATTTACACCCTTGTTTACATCGGTTTTAACTTGCGAAAGGAAGTTATATGTGTGTATGAAGCAAACAATATTCAAGTTTAAAACTGATATTATCTAATATTCTAAATCATAGTTTTAGTTATGTTCAATAATAACGAAGAGAAAAAGCAATACTTGCCAAAATAGATTAACAAGGAAAGCTTACTTGATTTGAACTTTTAACAAATGGGGTGCCTTTAATTAAGTATAGTTCATTAGTTTTTCAAACAATTCTGTTTGGCAGTTGTTTAATTCAGGAAAATATCAGTGCCAAATAGTCTGAATTAAGACTGAACAGATCTTTAATTGACGGAAGCGAATTGTCTGAGCAATACTGATACTACCGGATTGGATAAATAAAGGCAACAGTAGTATACTATCATATACAAGAGAAGATGTGGTATTATTGCCAATGAGACACAAGTGACACAGAAATAAACAACTATAGGTCACGTACGGCCTTCAACAATGAGCAAAGCCCATACCCTACAGTCAGCTATAAAAGGCTCCAAAATGACAATGTAAAACAATTCAAACAAGAAAACCAACGGCCTTATTTATGTACAAAAAATGAACGAAAAACAAATATGTAACACATAAACAAACGACAACCACTGAATTACAGGCTCCTGACTTGGGACAGGCACATACATACAGAATGTGGCGGGGTTAAACATGTTAGCGGGATCCCAACCCTCCCCCTAACCTGGGACAGTGGTGTAACAGTACAACATAAGAACGAACTATAAAATTCAGTTGAAAGAGGCTTAACTCATCAGATGGTTAAAAATACAAATGCTACAAATACAAGTGGACGTGGACGGGTACTTGTACATCCGAACAACAAAAAGACACTAAGTACAGATCTGAGAGTACTCGCAGTTATTGACAGCTAGTTCAAAGCCACTAACAACTAATAAAAAAAATCATGCATTTAAGACTAAATTACCAATCCGTACACATCCAACATCCAATGGATTTAGTGTAAAGACGTCATAAACAGTCAGAGAAAAACATGACCTTGTGCAATGCCAAAATACAGGTATCGACAGATTGTAGATCCATGGATGTGTATATGTACATAACAATAATATTCAGTTTGCTTTTAATTTACTGATAACAAAACCAATATCAGTACCAATAAAAACAAAATTTAATGATCTAATTACAGTGTTGAATTGGTAACCTTTTAGAATAAGTTTATTTAAAGGATCGATAAGTTTACCAGGATCGTTTCTAAATTTCCGGGCACGGTAAACATCATTGCCGTATATATAAGTCTGAAATTTGACTGAAATACTGAACTTGATTTACCACTTTATTAATCATTCTTTTAAGATCAGTTGAAATCAAAATGGCCGTCATAGCTCTTTGATGTGTGTATGTTATAATATCTATCCAGTTCTATGGCTATTGGGTGACGTTTTTATTGAAAGTTTCCTAGCAATCAAGTGCATATTGATAAAATAACGTATTTTTTTTAATTTATGTCTGTCTTATAAGTAGAATAAAAACCAGTAACGGAAAAATTTATCGACCACCACAAATTTGGCCGTCTGTTGATAAAACCAGTCGTGTGTAAATTTTATTCTGATACTTCATTTATAAATTGATCCAAGGGTTTTGTAGCTATCAGTTTGACTTACAGTACATTACTTGGTTTTGCCTTTTATGAAAAATAAATAATCCGTAACTTATACTACAACTGCATATGACTTTTCCCGTAAACAGTAGCTTTTTTCATCTTTTTATCTTTTAATCTTGAAATGATATATAGATTATGAGTACATTGCTTAATGACACGAAAATCTTCTTATTAGGGATAATTAAAAAAAAATTATCTTTCATGAAAACCATTTCTAACTGCCTCACCTAATATCCTTTATAATAAATGAAATATTTTGAATCTCCAATAGTTTCAGATATAATGATCCATCAGGCGAAACTGAAATTCACAGCACCTCCCAGTTTTTTCCCTTCATTATTCACCGGGAATCGCCATTTATAATGAAAAGCTTTCACGTTATGTAATACACATAGCCTAATATTGAGCATCTCGAATAATTACCTTTGTCTATGTTACAGCTGCATATAGCTGCGAAACCTCATCTAGTATGGTCTTTATCATATTTGTTGACAATTTACGAACCATATAATCCGTACATGTAGCAGCTCTATGATCCGCAAATTGTCAAAAAATATTATAAGCACCATAAGAGCTAAGGTTGCAAACTTACCATGACCATATCTTGATATTGATTGAATCGATTTCCCCTGTCATTGTGATATACCCATTTCCTCAAAGCCCATCATTAAATAGCACAACACTAGATATAATGGCAGCATAATCCCTGTAAAAATGAAATGACACATTGAAATAAACAAAAAGTGCTACTGGTATTATAAAAACACAGTTTCAACTTGATAATAGTATCTACAACGTGATTTATTTTAGCACCTATTTGATGAAAGTCGTATTGCAGCCCTTATTCTGAAGTATATTTAAGCAAATAACTAACAGAACACAAAGCTACACGAGATGTTAACCTGGCATCAATATATCATCCTCGGTATGGGTTTTGCTCATTTTTGAAGGACGTTTATTGACCTTTAGTTAGTCATTTCTATTTCATTTGGTCTTTGGTGGAGAGTTGTTTCATTGGCAATAAAGCCACATCTGCTTATTTTGATAGCTGCGACAAATACACCTAGCTAAGATAACAAATAATTGATTTACCAATATACTGACGGTGAAGTTGAAGAATGTCCTTATAATATACTGTTTGCCTACTGTACATTAAACGATTATCTACAAGGTTAACAGTAACTCCCTTGGCATCCATTAACATATATTTGTGTGTTGGCTAATTTAGGAAATACATAATTGTATGCAGAGTCCATTGTTACATCACGTAAACTTCATATATTTTGTAAATCCCTGCGCAGACTCAAAATTTATTAACATAACGACTTGTTTTCTAATAGTGTTGATGGATTACCTTAAGCAGAAGGTAACGTTTTCAGAGAAACGCGAAGTTACAGGTGTTTGTAAGAGAAACCAACTGACCATGACCTCATTTTGATCAGATGTTGATCAGATGTTTTTGATATATCGGAATATAGCTTCGTTGAGGGTAAGACCATCATTTAACTATAATACCGTTATATTTGATTAAGCAAGACAGACATGTCACAATGTCAGCATGCATATTAATTTCATATATGTCCACAATGTGAAAAAGAAATGTAAAAAAATATTGGCAACATACCATTGTACATCGAAAACATGAACATTCTAAACAGTTATAAATTCACCACTGTTAACAAATTTGTGAGTAGTGTTTATATGTACTTGTT